AGGGGAAGATGTCCGTGTCAAGGCTTAAGGCCGAGCTGAAGTTCCTGGCGTCCATCTTCGACAAGAACCACGAGCGATTCCGCATTGTCAGTTGGAAGCTGGACGAGCTGCACTGCCAGTTCGTGGTGCCGCCACCGGCGCCGCCCGGCAGCCCGCATTCGCCGCCGCTCACCCTGCACTGCAACATTACGGTGAGGCGCCCGGCCGCAGCCCCTTGGGGCCGGCTGGGGGCGCGATAGGGACGAGGGGCGCCTCCAGTGTCCGGACAAAGGGGAGCCAGGCCGCGGAGAGGCCCCTCCGGGCTGCGGGCGAGGCGGGCCCGCCCCTTCTCCCGGCGAATGGCCCAGCCCAGGCCCCGCCGGGGCAGCGCGAGGCTTGGGTGGGAGGAGGCGGAGGGCGCGTTTTCCGGCTCTTCCCGCGGGGCTGGGTTTGGGGCTCTTGACCCGTCTCGGCCCCCGTCGCCGGGCGGTTGGCGGTGGAGACGGCGGCGCCCGGAGCCCTCGCGGGGTCGCCATGGCCGCACGCAGCCGGCCTGCGCCGGGGACCGCGGCGAGACAGGTTGTCTCGGGCTGTGGGGAAGGGCACAAGCCCTCAAGTTGTAACGCCACGCTCCCCAGTAATTAATTTTTAAAAGTCTGCGTTAAAAGGGAAACCTGATTGATTTATGAAAAAAAAGTTTGGAACGCTGCCTCTCACACTGTTTTGGTTTCTCCGCTTCTCGCTGACCTGGCTCAGAGCTAACGAGTTTCTAGAAGGCGCATTGTACTGCGGCAGGTGGTGGTACAGTCCCCTTGTGTGGATAAGCTTTTAAAAATTATCACTCGGTGAAAGAGGATCCGTGCCCGAGTGTACTGCCCAGAAAGAGAATTTTGTTACACAGCAGAAAAGCTATTTGGAAGCGTAGCCATTTAAACGGAAAGCTCCTTAGAAGATCTTGGCAGAGTAATAAATAATAATAAAGTGTTAATAAATTTGCGTATGAAAAATGTTTCGTTAGAATTTTGATTGTGAAATTGATCTATGATGTTGATCCAAACTGCAGACTCAAGGTGGCACTTTTCGTGTTCCTCTTTAACTCTGGTTGAAGCCTGGTCTAGGGACTGGGTATAGTTAAATGCTGTTACAGTATGCTTGATATTTGAAGAGAGTTGGGAGTTAGAAGGGACCTTGAAGTCAAGATAATTAAAATACCAGAGTATTGCGGGGGCGAGGAGGAAGATAAATATTACTGCAAAGAAAAAAAAAAAAACAAACCAAAAAAACCACACTATCCCAACAACCAAAAAACCAGTACAATTGAATAATGTACAGAGGAGACAATCACACATTCAGATGCCTTTGTTTAGTCAGTAAAACATAGATATCCCCCTGGTATTCTCTGTTAAGATCCATCTCACATCATCAGTGAATCATTGGTGCCATGACCCCTTCTAAATCCAACTTGAATTTCTGGTGGTTCTCTGTTGATGTACCATTCTATATGTGTTTGAAATAATCTTAAGCAAGGTTTTGCTTGCATGTGATGTTAGTGATATTGTTCAATACTTTCCACATTTTGATGAAACACCATTTTTTTGAGAATGGGAATAAACAGAAATTTCTTCCGGTCATTTGGCCAGGTAGCTCTCAGATTTCTTAGCATAGTCTGATGAACACGTTCAGGATTCTGTTTGTTACAGAGTATGTCAATTGGTAAGGGATTAGAATTTTGGAAGGAAAAGGGAAGATGTTTTGGGTTGAGAGAACTCAACCCAAAAAAGACATCAAACTTTGAGAAAGTGTGTTTTGCTTATACAGAGGATTGGAAATGTCATGGTGATAACTTGAAAGTAGATAAAATGTTAGGAATATGAGATTTGTAGTTGACTTTCAAGAAAGCCTTGGACATTAGACTAATAAAGAGGAAAATTATTTAAGTACAGTAGGCTTGCAGAAGAAGTAGTAATCATGAAGTGGGTGATAATAATGTGACTGATCTCAAGTACTTGGGGGATAGTTATTGTGCTAGACCTAGGGTTATGACAGGAAAAATAAGACTGCCCTGAATGAAAGAAAAACAGAGCCATAACAGTTACTCAAGTAAATTGGGAAAATGTGTCTGACATCCTGGGTTGAAAGTGTGATTATCCATGGCAGGTAACATTAGAAAATACATGTGCTTGTGATTTTGGTTATTCTAATGCAGTGGTGGTAGTGTTACCACCCTTACAGAATCAGTGAAATGCTAATTGTCTTGTAGTGTCCAGTCTGGCACAAGAATTACCCCAGCTTGTGCTACCAACTTCATGTTGTGGTGTACCATCAGGTCTGAACCCACCCATACCTGACCCTCAGTAGGTTTTCAGAGACATGATCTCATGGAAGATAATTGCCTGTCCTCATACATAACCTAAAGGTACGCAGTTCAAATCCACTGGCTGCTCAGTGGGAGAAAGATGAACATTCTCTTGGCATGCAATTTACTGCCTTTGAAAACCTGCTGGAGGACCAGCGATGGATTCGTTCTGACTCAGCAGTACACAACAACAACAACAAAATGCCAGCAGTTGAGAGCCACACTGGAGGTTATGATTGTGCTGCAAACAAAGATACTAAGTGAAGACCTGATTATGTAGTAGCAACTGAAATGAAGAAGTAGAGATAACTGAGAATATGAAGTCCTGGGGGACTTCTAAATAGAAGGTCAGCTGTTCTAATGTATCAGCCACTACAAGGGAAAAGAATGAGGCAATAAGATTTTATTAAGATTTACAGCCTTGGAAACCTGATAGAGGTTGGTAGGAATAGACTTTATGGCAGTGGAGTTAATAATAACACTTCTAGTGAAGACCAGGGTTTATAATTTATTACCATTTCAGTGTCACCAGTTTCTACCAGGGCTTTGTACAGGTTCATTCAGGTTTCTACCCCGGGTATACCAAGTCAGAATCTACAGTTTAATAAAATCCTTACTTGATTATTATGCAGATTCTTAGCAAGGGAGTTCTTTGAAGTGGTCATGAATGATCATAGGCATTATCAGAAGATACAGTATAGGATATATATGAGCGTTTTTATTACAGAAAACATCAAATGTGTGCTAAATAAAATAATATAGTGAACCTCTATGTACCTAATCCCAACAGTGATAAATGATAAAACATTTTCACCAGTTTATTTTCATCCAAACCAATCTGGATTTTTAAAAGATGGTTCCAGACATGTCACTTTATCATCAGTATGTTATTTTAAAAGGTAGAAATTCTTAAAACATGGGTGGTATTTTGATATGACTTTCTTATGATACCATTTGTTTAGAAGAAAAAGAACAAGGGATCTATGGAGTCAAATTTGAAATGCCAGGAGGACCTGTGTACCAAGAAACGAGTTATACTTTGGGCACATGGCCAGGAGGGAATCAGTCCTTGGAGAAGGACATCATGCTTGGAAGGGTGGAGGAACAGCACAGGAGAGGAATACCCAGGAGGAGACGGATTGATATAGTAACTGGGGCAATGGCAATAAGTGTGTCGAAATTAGTGAGACTGAGTCAGAACAGGGCAGGTTTCAGAGCTGTTATAGGGTTGCTGTGAGTTGCAGGCAACTTGACAGCACATAACAACAATTTCTAAAATGTTGTTGTTGGGTGCCATCGAGTCTTAGATGACTCATAGCGACCCTGTAGAGTTTCTGGAGGCAAGGCATTTTGGAAGTAGATGCCACTCCTGCTTCCAAGCTTGTTTTCCAACTCATTACTTTTTTTCTTTTCTTTGAAGAACCACTATTTTTTAGAAGTGATTAAAACAAGCTTCTAAAAAGTAGTGGCTCTTAAAAAAGTAATGAGTTTGGCCTGTTCTGTAATTTCTCCTGGGAGGGAGGTTGGAGGCGTAATTGGTAGGGAGTTGTGTCTCTGGCATTTGGAATCCACCAGAGCCAATGTGGTAGAAAGATGGGTAGTCTCCATCAGTGCCATTTACAGCCTCTAAGAACCTGCTAGAGGGTTAGATGTGAGTTGGTTCCAACTCGACAGCAATAGGAGAAAGAGAAATGTATTTATTAAGCCTGCTTTTTAAACCTGATATTTTTTTTTATTTCTTACCAAATACACTTCCTGAGGTGGTTTATGTACTGTTGAGTGAGTAGTACTACACTAGCTGTTTGCTTATCCACATACTGCTCCATTTCTAAATAATTCTTAGAAGATAGTGTATATTTTATCCTTTTTTTCTTTCAGGCTTCTGTACCAGTTGTTTCTTGCGTGTGCAGTGAGTCCCTGACCTTTAGGTTTTCCCCCATCTAACCATCCCTCAAGGCTCAGCTGGGCAGTATTCAGCTCATGTTATTGTCCCTTCCTACTTTCTTTAATCCTTACTATATTGCATATTCTTGCTATACAGTTTCAGGTGTTTGACATTTTCTTCATTTGACTTTTTTTCTTTTTGATGATAAGAAAGAATATTTTGTGCTTTTTGTCTTCTACTCAGTAACTGTTAGTTCTTTTTACTCTATAACCCTCATTCTGATTATATTTTATTTGAATAAAAAGAATTACTGTCATGTAAATTAGAGAACTCTGGTGGCTTAGTCTGTAGGGATTTAAATCAAGGGCCATACCTCTCTGGCAGTTCAAACTCTTCCATGCCATTTACAGCATCAGGTGTGAGTCTTTCCCAGCTCTGTGGCAGTGAGGCTGATAGGTAGATGGATCTTGTATACAGTAATGGAGAAGTGCTGTGTTTGAAAGGTCACTGAGAGCTCAGTGAGATCACTGAGGGAAGCCTGAAATTTGACTTTTATGAAAGTCAAAACAATGGATATTTTATTTTCTGGTAGAAAATTCAGGTAAATTAAAAAAAAAACAACTCCAGATCTTAAATATGAAGGGAAATGTGTAGTGGTGGTTTTGTTTTTGGGTGTTTATTTTTCCTGGTTTTTGTGTTTTTAATTGTGCAAAACATGTATGGGGATAGAAGGGGGTGGGGTGAGGGTTGGGAGCAGAAGAGTGAGGATGACCAGGGATGAAATCATAGGGCTGCACAATTGGGTGTGGGGGGAGTAGGCAAAGGAAATGAGAAAGATCCAGGGGGGACCAGAAGAGACAGGGCAATGGTAAGCATAGTCCAAAGGTGATTTTCTTTCTTTTTTTTTTTTAACAAAGAAGTTGTTTTATTCACTTGTGGGTTTCTCTTGTGGAAATATGGCGCAGGCTCTG